ATATATATATATATATATATATATATATATATATATATATATATATATATATATATATATATATATATATATATATATATATATATATATATATGGTGTAGTATGTTGTCATACTTTCATCTGTGATTGTAGTAGCTATGTTGTGTCAATGAGGACGACGAACGAAAAAGGCAACTGCGAAAGAGCAGATTGAAAATTATTTACGGATAACATGGATTCACATCCTTAGCTGTTCTACACTTTGTTTCTATTCATTTACTTTAATTCTTTATTGAAAAATAAAGATTACATTTACTTTTTTTCATTTTTTCATATGTAGTTTTTCTCAGGTGAGACTTGCTCCTAAAAAATCCATTGGCAGAGTACACAGGCTCATTTACTCTAAAATTTACTCTTCAAAACTCCATTGTTTGTACATATGTGTCTGGGGCAGAGTGTGTGTGTGTGTGTGTGTGTGTGTGTGTGTGAGTGAGAGCAAGTTAAGTACAACAAATGATTAAGGGGAATCATGGTCAAAATCAATGGGGTAGGAAGAGGCAAAAGGTACTGTAGGAGCCACCCGGAATCAATTAGTACGCCGTACGCGTATTGGAACATATATAAATTTTATTATGTGTGACCATTTAAGCGTTAACATTGATTGTTTTTTTTTTTTTTTTGAGAAAGTTAACATTGATTGTTAGATAGTTAAAATATGTAATTGTCCCGATACATCTTATATATTCATACATAATGACACGAAAAAATCTATGTATTTGTATATATTCATATATTTCTTTTCAATCATCAATTTAAAATATATATTTACCGTGCATCGCACGGTGTAATACTAGTATTTATTAATTGTACAACCTAAGATTTATTTTACTTTATTCTAAGGAAAAAAAGAAAAACTGAGAGTGCATGTAAGGTGATTTATGGGTGGGATGAAATTAAAATTCAAATTGAGAAAAATGTCCTAAGTTTACTGAAAATGATCAAATATATATTTTTGAGATTTCGCATTTTGGTGCAAACCGTAAAAGTGTTTGGAATGGTTATGAGTGGATAAAGTAATCCAAGGAAAAGATGGGAAAAATATGTAATTTAAAAATAGTACAAGGAGTAAAGTGCAATTAAGCAATATTTTGTTAAAGCAAGATTGACCTTGAAAGCAGGTCGTGAGTCAACCAAGAAGACAAAGAAGCGAAAGTGTAGCAGAGAGACCCGGGTCAGGCAAAAATCTACAGCGGGTCTTACTGCCCGAACCCGTGAATCGAAACGCTGCGTTTGGACCTACAAAACACATTAAACGGCGCCGTTTAATAGAACTCTAAATTCTCAATTCAAAAGAAAATAGGCATCTTTATTCATTCTCTCTCGCCTGCAAGATAGACATACACACACCAAACTCTCTTCTCTCCGACGAGACGAACCAACGAGGGAGAGAAAGAGAGGTACCTTCATTTTCTTAGTGCTCATCGCCGAAAAGTGTCTTCTGGTTAGGTTCGTTTTTGATTTTTTTTTTCAGCTTAGATTTATTTTGCTTTGATTTCATGATCTGCTTCGGCAATTCCTTTGATTTTGAGCCTGCATTTCGAATTGGTTTCGTTATTTGTGATCTTTAGCTAATGATGTTCATCGCCTGTCGTCCAGATTTTCTGATCTCTGTTTAACAGCTGGTGATTTTCTGGGTAGTTGTTTGATGAGTTTTGCTGAATGTACATAGAGAAATTGAATTGCTTGTTCTTTGAATTTCTTATGTGGGCGTTTAATTGCAGTATTTGTTTCTCATTTATTTCTTAGTTTAGTTTTTGGGTGAAGATTTTGTACTTCAATTCTCTGCCTCTCTCTATATATTTACATATATAAATGTATATAAAATGAAAGGGTTTCAGGGAGCTAGAGAAATTAGAAGAGAAAAAAACAAAACATGCTTTAGAAGAGTTGCATTAGCAATTTGGTAGTTTTGTCGTCGTTTCGATATGCTTCCAGTTTCTTTATTCGGGTAAGAACTGCTTGTGTTCGCACTCCAATTGGTTCTCTATTCTCGCTAGGTGATATGCCTCGTATTTTATACCAATCTGTTTCAACAAACCATACCATCCTTAATGTAAACAAGGTAGTAGTTATTAGATGAGTGAACAGTTGCCACACTATTAAGATTCTTATTTTCCAATCAGGAATTCTTGTTTATTTCATTGAGTTCTTCTGCACTCATTTGCTTTCGTTACTCACCTTAAGCAACTCTCGTTTTTCATTTCCACCCCATCGCTATATGTGAACCCAACATTTCATTTTCTTTTCTCAACTACCAGTTATATTCGTTGAAGTAGAAACTTTACAACTAAAATGGCTGAGAAGAAGCATATTATTGTGCAGGAAAGGCTAATAGGGACGTATTTTAGATTAAATATTATTCGTATTTCATTAGAAACGTATTGAACTTACTACTATCCAATCTCATGTATATGATGATGTGTTTGGTTTCGTTTGTGCAGGAAAGGTCACTTAGCGAATGAATCTCTAGATTGACTATTATTCTTATCATGGTAAGGATATTGCACTTTACTTACATCACGTGAATGCCTGGATTTCGTTTTTTTCTGTAGTTACGATGCATGTCAGAAACTTAAGAATGGTAAAATAGCAGGAGAAAGTATAGAAATGAACAATGGCAAAAATGCTTAAACATAGAATTATCGCTAGGATAGATAAAACTCACATTAGCATTGGGACCTGTGGTATTGATAGTCACACGCTATGTCGTTGTATGTTTAACTTTTGTTTATTTACCTTTAACTTTATTTAGACGACAAGCAGTAAAATCCGAATGCGTCTGGACCTGTCAAAGAACTTAAAATTGCGTTGTCGAAGTCCATGTTTATTTACCATAGCATTCTATTCAGATAACAAGTATGACCGCTTTCCAACTTGATTGAGAACTTATAAAGTTGAAAGAAGAGAAAAACACCGATGTTCACAAGCTGCTATATATGTGAGTGAGATAATTATGTTTGACCCGGTAGTATTGAGGTGGGGTGGGTATTATTAGGTCAAGGGTTTAATTCTTTTTTGTGGGCTATTTTATAAGGCTAATTTTTATTTTATTTTGCATAAAAAAAGATAAGAAAAAGAAGAAAGAAAGATAAATATGTTTGTGTTGATTCACCTGTCTGTCTCATTCAATTAAGACAATAAATAACTGTATGAGCTGACGTTTGCTTGCGCTTTATTCAAAAAGGACCACAACCATCACTTGGGTATAAAGACCTTTATGGCCATAACGGCGGAGAGAGACGCCGCCATTAGAGAGAGAAACATGGCGTTGGAAGAGAGAAAGAGAGCTTTTGCAGAGAGAGATATGGCAATGCTGCAGAGAGATGCTGCAATCGCGGAGCGTAACTCGGCCATACAAGAGCGAGACGAAGCAATTGCTTCTCTAAGGTTTAGAGAGAGCCCAATGAACCACAATAGCACCAACACCAATATCCCAGACTCACTTGTAAGTGAACTATCAAGTGGGGCAAGACGCATTCAGTACCAAGACCAAATTCGTGCCGTCTCAGAACCAGCTGCATATAATAATAATAATAATAATAATAATAATAGTAATAATAGCCAAAGAGGAAGCTTGAGAGGTAGTAGTGATGTCAGTATAACAGAAGAGGAAGCTTCCGAAACTGCAGCTAATAATAAGCCAAGGAGAGGAAGACAGGCCAAAGATCGAAAAGCGAACAAGTCTCAGAGAGTGGGGAAAAGAATGGCTGAAGAACTAAGCAAGCAGATAATTACAAATGATTGGAGTAATAATAATAATAATAGTAACGAGCATGATTTCGAAAGTGACGAGGAGGATAAGCAGCAGGTGTCGTGGAAAGACAATTTGGGTTTGAACCAAATAAATTTCGATGAGTCAGCGATGCCGGTGCCAGTTTGTACGTGCACGGGGGCCCCACAGCCGTGCTATAGATGGGGGAACGGTGGGTGGCAATCTGCTTGCTGCACTACAGCGATATCTATGTACCCACTGCCACAGGTGGCGAACAAACGCTACTCGAGAGTTGGTGGGAGGAAGATGAGCGGTAGTGCGTTTAGCAAGTTGCTTAACAGACTTGCTTCGGAGGGATATGACTTCTCTGCTCCGCTCGATCTTAAAGACCATTGGGCTAAGCATGGTACAAATCGGTACAGCACTCTTAAATAGACATTGGGATTGTTTTTGTTTGTTAATTGTCATCAGAATTGATATATCTCTCTAATGTAATGATGAAATGACACTCTGATTGTAATTCTTATTTGGTTGTGTATACACTTTGGTTAATCCAAATTTGTTCAAAGTCAAAAAGATTTCCAAGCTCTCATGTTTTTCATTCTTATATTGTATTTATTGCATAGTTACTTCCACATAGAATTGTGTTTTCTTCTGTTAAAAAAAACCAAAAAAAAATCCAGGGTAACAAAACATGCCAAACTTGTTGGTGAATTAACGCTGTTTGTTTAGGACTCTGAATTCCTAGAATAGTCAAACGAAAGCGGGGACGTTCAAAATTCAAATAAAATGGAGGCGTAAGTAATCGTTGAAAAAAGTATTTTTTGGATGCTTTCATCAACTACTTTATTTTCCAATTATATACACAAGAGAAGGGAAAATCCTAGAGGTATTTTTTTCTGCCCAATTGTTTGTTAGAACTGTAATTACATTTAATATTATTACTTCTTAAAATCAATTTTATAATATTTAATTTGCTTAAAATTAGCAGATTTTCGATATACTCTTGATATGGATTATGGAAGACCTTTTCAATAAAATAAAAGTGTCTATTAGATATAACCCCCTTAGACATTCAAATAATAGGGGTAGACCCAAACTTAAATTTGCCATTTTGATAAAAATCCAAACTTTTCTAAATTACATAAGTACCCTCAATCAAATCCCACAAACCCCATTACTTTACCTTTTGAAATAATATCAAATCCCTCCCTATTTTCCCGTTAAAACACTATCCCCACAAACCCACTACCCAAAAATCTGCAAACCTCCCAAAACCAGAAATTTATACGGCGTGGATCGACGATTTTCTGCACTCCGACCAAGCCGCCGTAGGTACGTCGTCGCCACTCGCTGAATCGCTATTATCAATCGATATGTTGATATGTTTTGTCTAAATCGACTATCACGTTTGTATAATTGCAGATCTTTAATAATCGCTTACCGAATTCGAGCACTAAATCAGTGATATCGCAACAATTGATGGGCAGGACATCCACCAGAAGAGGTAACCCATTACTATATTTTTGTTTAACTGCAACGTGATAGTCTTTTTGAGTGTTTTTTTTTTGGATAATCTGTATATATTTGCTTATCTAACACACTCAGTAATATGTTGCAGGCGTCGAAGCATCGAAAATGGCAGACGACATTATGTTACTAAACGCGGGTGAGAAAGTGATTTCCCCTAATTCTACATATCAGAAAGTTGTATAATTGAGTAAAACGTCAATAATCGATTCTGTGTTTTAGTTAGCGTTAAGGTTGACCGTAGTATAATTAATCTCATGGGCTTATTCATGTTATACATTGTGATTAAATCGAATGTATATGATAGTTGGTTGATGAAGTCCGATAGTATATTAAGACATTACGTTTATGTGTTTTAGATAGCGTGATGTTTGGCCGTAGTATAATTAATCTCATGGGTTTATTCATGTTGTACATTTGTGAATATACTATTGTGTATGTGATATTTGGTTGACGAAGTCTGAATGTATATTATAATAGTCTGACAGCTTGCTGTGCTAATTCGTTGTTACAATGAGATAGTATTTTGAAGAAATTCAGACCGAGTTGTTATGAATTGAGATAGTATGTTAATATAAAGTTGTGTTGTTATGGATTCATAGATTATGTGTATATGTATGGGTAGTAATATACCATTACTTTAGAAGGAATTGTTAGTGTCTTAACTGCACTGCAGTTTTAGTTATGCATGCTTGTGTAGTTATGTGAATGCTATGAAAATGTATGCATATGATATGTTTAATTGTTGTCATATCAGACATGTATTTACCTATGTAACTTTAATAGTATTCACGTGAGGATTTAAACACGTATTATAATCTGTTTGATCATTTACGTAATCTAATAATCTGTATGTGCATTGTTATAATGAAGAATTAAACTGTCTGTATCAATATTTGTTGCGTATTTTGTGTTGCTCATAATTACACACTTTTACATGATTTACAGCCGAATCAAACATAATGGCACAAAAAGAACTAGATCAAGGCAGCTGGACCCGACAATTCCGATCCAGCCTACATTCAACAGTAGACTTCTTCGCAAATGTCAGTCTGCGAAAAAGCGCACTACAAATGCTTGAAAAGAACGCCATTCTACCGGCTAATCTTACCGTTTGCCAAGCATGAAATGTCCATCTCGCAGGTCACAGGGACACAAATCGGCACAGTCCTCGTATTGAAAACATACAACAAAACAGACAGAGTGTTCAAAATTGGAGGAAAAGAATTACATGTCACAGAGGAGGATTGCAATCTGATATTCGAAATCAAATCAGGTGAAAAAAGTATAAACATTCGCAGAAGCACCAAACCACAATTCGGTCTAACCAATCGTAAATTTAGAGACGAAGAAAAAATACGGTTGGGGATGTTGATGCCTAAGATGATGGAATATATAGACAGTAGAGATGACGAGGATGTGGAAGATGTGGTTCGTATAATCATACTCCATGTACTTACATCCTGTTTTTTTGCAACTTCCGGAGACCAAGTCAGCTGGTGGATGGTACTGCTGTGTGATGAACTCTACAAACTCTGTGATTACAATTGGGCAGGGTACATTGTCGAATTCCTGATGAAATATGTGCATACAACAGAACCATCTTTAGTCCGTGGGTGCACAACACTATTGTTGGTAAGTCAGCATAGTTGTATATACATTAACTCGTAACCAACTCTGCATAAAATTATTTTGTTAGTGCACATAATTACATGAATTTGTAAATATGCATGCTCGTATATTCATTTGAAACATAGTATACATTCTATCCATATAGTATAGTACTGTAACCTTAGTAGTATATTTATTTTGTTTTAATAGTGTATTTATTTTCTCTTAATAGTATATTTATATTGTCTAATAGTATATTAATATCTAACATGCAGTCGATTTCTAACACTAATTTGTTTCATCAGTTTTGGATGTGCGAGAGGATAAATATCATTGAACCAATCGTTGCTGATGCTTTCCCAAGGTTCCAGAAATGGAATTTGAAAACACTGGGGACAGCGCTGGAGCATAAAGCCATCAGAGACATCCACAACGATAAAGTGAACGAGTCAGCACTTACTCAAACGGAAGAAGAAACTGCATTCTTCAGTAATGACTCATCTGTTGTGGAAAGAAGCAGTAAAAGGAAAAGAAAATTTAAAAATAAGGAGCACAAGAAAGGCAAAACAGATAACACATGCACCAGTTCTGAAATAGGCGATAATGCTCAAAATATCAATGTCCCAGAAAAATTCATGAAGAAATTACGTGAGAAGTCGTCAGAAAATCATCGTCTTTCCAAACTTGCACTTCCGTACGAGACCGAATCCCATATACTGAGAGAGAAGAACAAACATCTGGAATACCTCTTGGCCAAATACGCACCAGCCGCATAAGTGAGTCATGGGGAATTGGCCCAACCCATAGACCAAACTACAGAAGCCAAGTTAGCTGCCGAAACATTACGTTGGACCGCACTCGAAGAACAGCTAACTATTATGAAACAGTCGTACGAAGACTTAGAAGCAACATCAGCACTGTTAAAGCTACATGTAGAGGCCCTGACCGCTGACAACAACAGGCGCAAGAACTCCAAGACAGGGCTTCCAAACTCGAGTGACGTACCTGATACCAAATTGCACGAATCCGCTGGTAAATCAACCACTTCAATGATGACAAGCTCAACTTCAAAAACTCCAACAGAAGACATTATGCCATCTTTCCAATTGCTGTCACAGACGCAGCCTGACCCTAATGAAACAGCAGCAGAGCGCGGTGATCCTTTACCTCTGACGTACGTTGACGAGACCGATAAAATAAATCTTCAAAATCAAATCCCCTATTTTTCTCCCTATTATACTGCAAATCCGAAAATTAGAATTGCAAAAATCTGGAAATCGATTTCTTCCCATTTTCTTCAAAGCGAAAATCTCTCTACAAATTCTGAATCCTGCCATAGGTTTGGGTGTTTGATCGTTTGCAGTTTTTCCAGGTCGTTTGCATTTTGTCTTCGTCCGATTTGCTGTTTCCCTATTTGCCTTTGTTTCGTTTGCTGTTTACAAATTGCTTGTTGTTCGGAAACAACGGCTGATGTTTAGGGTTTATTGTTTGAGCGTGTGGGTGTCTAAGCGTTTGCAGTTTTACCAGGTCTGAGCATTTTTGCCTGTATTCCGTTTCCCTTCGTTCGATTTGCTGTTGCCCAATTTGCCTTCGTTCTGTTTGCTGTTTACAAATTATTTGTTGTTCGGAATCAACGGCTGGTGTTTAGGGTTTGTGAGTTTGTACGATGGCCAAAACACGATTAAGTCTTGGTAAGCAATGATCCTTTGTGTAAAATTTTATTTGCATGTTGGGTTTTCGATTTTGATTTTTTTCTTTCATTATTAATTTTGTATTTTGTTGCTTTTTTGCTTTTGTATTTTGTTTGTTTGCTATTTATTTCAAATACTTGCTGTTTGATTTGCTGAACCAGTTTGCCCTCTTTTCAGTTCGTGATTTTCCAATTGTTTGTTGTTTGAAGACATCGGCTGGTGTTTCTGATTGGGATTTATACAATGGACAAAACACGATTAAATCTTGGTAAGCAATGATTCTATAACCTGTTTGTATGATTAGTGTGTGTATTTTGAATTTTTGTGTTCTGCATTTGCATGTTGTTTTTTTGATTTTCAATTTTGCTGTTTTTTTTTTTATTTTGCATTTTGCTGGTTTGCAATTTATTTCGAATAATTCGATACTAATTTGAGAACCCTTTTTTTCCTATAACAACAAAGGAGGATGATGACTTCGAATCCCTAAAATCAGGTAAAAAAATTGAGGGGTTTGTTAATGTTATAACTTTGGTTATGTTTATTCTTAAACAAAATGTAGCTGCATTTTAAGTTACAATTTTTAAGGTTTGTTTGATGTTAGTCTGAGTTTTTATGTGTTTTTTTTTAAACATAGTTTGCATTTTGCTTTTTAAAGTTCGTCACTTTGATTATGTATTTTGCTATTTTGTGGCTGATTTTTGGTACTTATGTAATCTGAATTCAGATTTTTTTGGTTAATTTTGAATAGTGTTGTTAGATGTTTGCAAATGATGTTTGCTATTTTCAAGTACCATTTTTATTCGACTAATCATGTGTCGCTTACTTACATATGATGTTTTTATTTGTAGTTTGCATTTTGCAAGTCTTGTATGAACTTGCATAAGTTGTTAGTTGTTTGATATTTTGCAACAACATTGTTTGGATAATTCATTAGTTCTGATTTTTTTTTTTTTTTTTGCTTTTCCAACAGTCAAGCCAAATAAAAGGAAACAAGTCACTAAATCATCGAAAAGGAAAAGAAAAATCAACTCAGATTGCAGTTGAGACCCAAGAACAACCAACCGTCACTGAAAAAACAACTGATTCCACAATATTGTTCAAACCTCATTTTTTAATCTTGTGTATTACAGTTTGCAGTTTCAGTTTACATTTGTTGATAAAAGGGTTTCATCTTTTGCATCACCTCGCAAATTCCAAGTTAAAAATTGCAAAAGAAAATGATTGTTTTGCTATTGCATTATGCAATATTATTTTTTCTTATACTAATGCAAATCGGAAATTTTCGTTTGACATTTTAATGTTTGCAATTATTCATGGTGCTGTTCGCTATTTACTAAATGATATAACAGTATACATAATTAACAAAGAAAAAAAAACACCATCCTAAAATTTGCAGTTTGTTTATCATTTCTTTTGTATTTTGCATTTTGTTGTTGTATGAAATTTGCATTTTCCTGTTACAACTAACAACTTGGAAAAAAATAACAATTAGTGGATAAAATAATTGAATTATTTAAAGATATTATTAAAAAATATGCAAATAAATGTCTATGATGAAATCATACCGAAAAATATAACAACTAAATACCATATTACAATAATTTTTGTAACGTTAAATACGTGTTTTCAAATTTCTTTTGTTGTTTGATGTTTGTTGTTTGGAAGCAAATTAATTATAAATACAAACATAAATTATAAGATACTACATTACATGGGATAAAAAATTGAAAGAGTAAGAGAGAGAGATAAATATGTATGTGTGTGTGTGTGTGTGTGAGAGAGAGAGAGAGAGAGAGAGAGAGAGAGAGAGAGGCATGCGTGAGAGAGAGAGAAAGATATGTAGAGATGAGAGAGGAGGGAGACAGAGATGAGAGAGAGATAATTGCGTGTGAGAGATAGATAGAGAGGAGAGAGGAGAGAGGAAATAGAAAAATGAGAGTGATTTATGGGTTTGTTCCCTTATTTTCTAAAATAATATTTTCAATAAATATTAGTTGAGGATATTTGTGTCCATATACAAATAGTTTTATTTAATTCATATTAATTTTAATAGGCAAGGGACCTACACCTATATTCATCTAATCACTTGGATCTCCACCTATATAAGTCAAAAATTATGGGTGTCTAGCAAATTTCCCCTATATATATATATATATATATATATATATATATATATATGAGTATTTTTTATCTACGGCAATGTCTTCAACTTATATAATGAAAATGATGAAAAATAACAGATTATTCGTCCTTTGATCGTAGATCTGATTGTAGTTTTGTGGTGTTCTTTAACAACATTCAGATTCATATGCAAGACTGGTGCATTGCTTTGATTTCAGTCTCGGAGTTATTTGCTACATATCAACGTGGATGATGTTTAGAACGTTGTCAGTTTATTTTTTATGCATATTTTTTATTGATAAATTAAGATATGATTTTTTTTTTCAATTGTATTCTTTACATTCTCGACATATTTTTTCTTCGTTGATTTTCTTCATTAACTCATTATAATTTTTTGAATTAATCCGCACGGGTGAGTTACTAGTATAAATATTAAATGAGAATATTTATATCACTGGAGTAATAATATAATTTAATTTATATTACATTTATTGGCGTAGATCAACTAACAAAATAAATCCATATAAGTTACAAATAAGGGGTTTCAGCCAATTATCCCACGAACTAAGAAATTTTAAGAGTTTGCAGTTAAAGAATCATCTTATTTGTAATCTAAATTTTAATGAACTCCCATTGGGATTGTATTTGTAAATAAGAATAAATAAACAAAAAAAAAAAAAAAAAAAAAGGAAAAAAATCTCCCTTCTTCTTATTCGGCGGTGACAGTAAGCAAGAAAATAACAGAGCTAAGTAATCTTTTGTTCGTCGATGGGCGCTTCAGAATCATCTCTTGCGAGCTCCCAGGTAAGCCCTAGCCCTAGCCCCAACGTCCATGGCCGCTGCTTTCTTTTTGTATTTCATACAATTTATTAAATATTTAGTCAGACTCATTCCCTTTTGCTATTTCTGTTTGATTATTGTGATTCTCATTATTTCTGTATCCAATCCAAAAGAATCCGGAGGATGGGATCACCACTGTTTCGGAGCGTACAAATGGCGTTGACCCTATTTTACAGAAGCTTCAATCCCTTCAAATTGTGAGCTTTTCCCACTCCTTTTATGCTATTTTTTTTTTATATTTATTTTTCATTAAATTTTTTATTTGTGTTGATTAATTTTACCAATTACATGTGTGTGTATGTATGTATGTGTGAACAGACGAAGCCGATACTGACGTCAGCCCCTGCAGAGAGTACCTTGACTGATATCCTTGTCCGAAAACCATTCTCTTCTTCCACTTCTGGTACAATAAAAACATTTAATTACTTGTTTTTGGTTATATTTTCTCTAGTGTGGTACTTAATCAAGCTTGCAAATGCTGGTAATTCTACACGACACTTTATGCAACTTGTCATGAAGAAACTTAGTCGGAACAACGATAAAAGTTGAGTTCAGATTATACTTGCATAATTGTTTTTAGTAGAATATGCCTTTTTTTCTGGTGGTGCAAAGTGCAAAACACAAGGGGGTGTGGTTTACATGTTTTATTTATTTATTTGAGTTTTTGGGCTTTCCTCTTTATTTGTTTTTTATGTGTGCCTACCTGTTCTATTTACATTATTGATCTACTTGAAATTTGGGCTAGGCATTCTAATAGCTTCACTAGGCTTTATTTGAGCCGCTTCAGCTGGTCTATTTTGAGTCCTAGGCATTGTAGAAAAATATTTTAAAATCTTTTATTTTGACTACTTTCTCAAAAATGGAGTTTGATGCATTTCAGTTGTTCTCACCTCATAAGAAAACAGGTTCAATACTAGTATTTGGGAACGCGTGGTAGAAACCTTCCGGATGAATATGATATGTATTTGCTTAAATTGTCAGACGAGTTTGGTAGTTCAAATTGTCTATTAAAAGTTCATGCAGGACTATTTTATGTCTCTTGAGCTCTTACGTTGTTACTTGTTATTTGGCATTCCATCTGAAATCTGTGGATCCCAAATCGCAGGAAAAGTATCAGAAGTTGTAACATAGTAGAGAGAGTGCAACTTTTGAAGTTTTGGATTTTTTTGAGAGTTCATTTATATCTTGGCCTCCAAGTATGTATGTAGTCTTTGCTTGGAATTAAGAGTTGGGAGCATAAATCAGTGAGTTGTCAGCTTAAAAAAAGATACTCTTTAAGTCAGTAGGAAGGCTCTAGGCATTAGACTGAAGCTTAAGACCGATGACACGTGCCTCTGCATTATTTATTATATCACATTCCTGATACAGTATATGAGCAATTTGTTTGAGAATATAGGCACTTGTGCTAGCTATATACATCGTTTGTTGTGATAATGATGTCATAAACGCATAAATAAAATACCTCTTCTTTCAAGCACATTGCAGTATTGCATATCTATTTGGCAGTTTGGACAATCAAATGCTTTTACTCTTATGCCTTCAGCTAATGAGTTTGGTTGACTTTGATATGAGATAAGTAAAACATAGCCTCAGACACACACACACACACACACACTTTGAGAGAAAACCGTATATTTTATCCACCTGTGTTGCTTATACCATCACTGCTAGAGTGACTACAATCTTTGAACCAGCGGTATCTTACATTATCTATTTTTCTTTGATTTTTAATATCCAAGAATGCAGATCACGTACCGAATCTGGATATTATGATTGTACCACTAATCTTTGGGCGTGCTGTTTATGTTTTCTGTCATATGTAGTCATGTAGATGCATATAATTTTAACTGGTGAATTGGATCTCTTTGAAAGAAAAAAGGCATTGGATAAAGGAAACGAATCACTAAAAACCCAATCAAGTAGACAACATTACAGTTGAAACCCTCAACGTACTTTTTGGTATAGCTGATAATCGACTTTGTTCGGTAGAATTACTGTAAACAGTTGTCATGATTTTGGAAATGCACTTGCAACGTGAAATGTGATATATTGACTCTTGGGTGTGTGAACTATGTTTAATATGTGCCAGAATAGAATTTCTCGTCATTTCTTAATCGATCTGGTTGACTGCAAAATTTATGTATCTTTATAATGATGTATTGACTAGGTTCTGTAAATCCTAATGTGCTACTGGAGCTCTTTTCGACGTATCGCAACTGGCAAGAGGAGAATGTTCAAAATATAAGTAAAAGACAGGTTGGCATTTCCATTCTCATTCATTCGAGTAGGTCATGATCATGTCGCGTAATTGACGTGGCAAATCAGTGTAGAATCATATGAATATGTTTTTTAATTCTCATAATTTCCATTATACTTTTTTGGCGAATTATGCACATTTATCTAAGACAAGGATCATAGAAACATTGGAATGACCAACTCAAAAGTGTTGATCTAGTAACAGTCTACTAGTATATTTAAATTTGATACAAACTCCTGATGATAAATATTAAATACTGATAAATAATAATGGATAAGGCCGGCTTTTATTTTTTTTTCTGTAGAATTATGAAGCTCCATGTCATGTTTTCTTATGTGTTTGCATCCATTGGTTATCGTAAGATCCAATTGTTATGTGTAAATTATGATTGTATGCAGGAAGAGATTGAAAATAAGATAGAAGTAGCTGATGCGTTAGCTGTCAAACTTCTCAAACGTTTCAATTACTCTGTCTCAGCAATAAAGACGACATCTAATCATCTATCAGAAGGTACCCCTCATACATCTTACAACTCTAGTGTCGGTAATTATTAATTTAGAATGGAGCCATTTTGGTGAGTCATGCATTATATCTTTAGGGGTTTCTGTCTTTCACTATTTTTCCAATGCAGTTTTTTTGGTGATGTACAGATTTAATCGTTTAGTTACGGGTAGCAGAAACGTAGTAGGATCTCATAATGAATTTCGAATTAATTAGTGCATATAGTTATTATACTAGTATTGAATAAATGGCATGTTTGTTTTGTAAAAATGTATTACACGCTGCTGCCGAAGAAAAATGTATAGCTTATAGAGTAATAATTGCTGCTGCCCTGATAGTGATAATTATCGAAAATGTGCAGTACATGGCTTGCAAGTGGAACTTGGAGAGTTAAAAGGAAGATTAACTGAGGTAATAAGCAACTGTGATGCATTGTGCAAGAGAATTGTTAATGAAGGACCAGAATCACTTCAATCTTCTGTCGAACCATTAACAGCAGCCGCCTCTACTAATCACAACTCTCTCTCTCTTTTACCATCTTTGCCTTCTTCTCAAGAGGAGGATCGATTATCACAGGAGTCAAGTTAGCCTTTTTTTTTTCTTTTTTTTTTTTTTTTTGTGTGTGTACAGTGTTGAAAGAAGTGCAATTAGGTTGAGTTGCAAGCTATCGCGTGCCAAACAACCCGACCGTACCCCGCCAAATTGTATTCTATCTGGCAAAGTTGTTTTATTTATTTCCAAAAGAAAACGAAAGTCCCTCAATTGTACTGGTGATTGATTAGTTCTATAGTTTATCTTATTCCAAGTAATTATGCATTTTGATAATTTTATATGATCACCTAAGAGTTAACATTTTTTATTTAAATATGCATTGTCTTGTTTCCATGAGTTTCATTGCACATATTCCAATCTAAGAAGAAAACTATGACACCTATCAAACTTGATATTATTTAGAGATACGAGTATGTTTTGGTGGCTATATGTTATAGCTTGTGTCGTAATAATGTTGATGAAAAAATGAATCAAATTGCATTGGCAACTTGAGAGATTGGCAGGAAAACACGAACTACATGTACTGTCAGACTTTCGAGCCCACATTTGTTTAGTGTAGATAAATGCACCGACACCAAAGGGGTACGTTTGTTTAGGATTGAATTGAAAGCATCCAGATCTGATCCCAGAGATCCAAAAAATAATAGATACATTTAATGATGTGTTTTCTATCGCTTTATATTACAAATTGGAAGTAGTATATAATCGCATTGCCGACAAAACTACCGCTCGTCATTTATATTGATATCAGCTGAAAAACTGCAACCCCGATTGCACATGAATCGTTACAGATACGTCTGCAGATATATGTCAGCAAAATATTTTTAGAAAATGTCAGCTGATACAATACAGGAAATAGTTTACTATCATTAATTCAACTAGATATCACCAAAGATTAGAGAGGAAATCAAATTGAAATTAACACTCTCAGAAAAATGCCTATTTTTCTAGTGTAATTAATTCCAATTCCACTCCAAAAAAATTGTAATAATTTGAATTTTGCAAATTGGAATGAAAAGAATTCTTCCAATCAGAAATTTTCCAACTAGGATTAGCGGAATTAGGAAATTTTATTAATCACCTATAGAGCAAAAAACTATAATAATATTATTGTAATTTTCAGGGAAAAAAACATCTGAAATTTCGAAAATGTATTCGTAAATTAAAAGCGGAACACAAATCATAATCGAATATCTATTCCAATTTCGTTACAGTAATAATTTAAAAAAAAAAAAAAAAAAAAAAAAGGAAATCGGAAGATTCGGACTTTAGAACGAAATTGTTCCAAATAAAAAAGAAATCGATTTGGAATCAAGGGAACTCGAAAACTCAGCTTGAATTTCCATTCCTAGAGAAGATCCAATGAAGTGGAATCACAAGTCATGAAGAACAATGAAGAAAGAAGCATATTAAGGAAAGTTTGAGTAGAGAATGATTCAAAGGGATCACTTATACAACTCTCATGATCATCAAAGTAGATAAAAGATACTCCTCAAATCCAACAAGTAAGCAAGCTACAACTCAACTCAGCAAAAACAAGAAGCCAATTCTTAAAACTATATAATCAACCAACCAACCAACAAACCAACCAATGTGGTGATTGATTAAAAACAACCACATTATACTATTATGCTCTGCCCTCCCTCCTCCTCTCTATAAAATTCCTTCCTTTTGTGGTAATAACACAGTACAACCTTCTTCTATCACTAACAATTAAATCAAGAAATTCATTTTATAAATAGAGAAAAAAGAATGAAAAAGAGGTCAAGGCTGCTGGTGAGCATCCATGTAACCAGCATCAACAAGCACTTTCTCTCTCTTAGCCAATTCAACATCTTCATCAACCATCATCTTAACCAGTTCTTCAAACCCTACTTTGGGCTTCCATTTCAGCACCTCCCTCGCCTTGCTTGCGTCCCCTTTCAGATTATCGACCTCAGTCGGCCTGAAATACCTCTTATCTATAACCACATGCTCCCTCCAATCAAGACCCACGTACCCGAACGCCATCACCAAGAACTCCTCCACCGTGTGGGATTCCTCAGTGGCCACCACGTAATCGTCCGCCTTCTCCTGCTGCAGCATCAGCCACATTGCCTCCACGTAGTCCCCCGCGAAACCCCAGTCCCTCGACGCCTGAAGATTCCCCAGGAACAGCTTGCTCTGCAGCCCGATCTTGATTCGACCCACCGCCCGGGTTATCTTCCGGGTCACGAAATTCTCACCCCTCCTGGGGGACTCGTGGTTGAACAGGATCCCGTTGCAGGCGAAGATGCCGTACGCCTCCCGGTAGTTGACGGTGTACCAGTGGGCGGCGACCTTGGAGGCGGCGTAGGGGGAGCGGGGGTGGAAGGGGGTGGCCTCCGACTGGGGCGGGGGTGTGGATCCGAACATCTCGGAGGATCCGGCCTGGTAGTACTTGATGTGGGAGCGGCCGGAGGCGGAGACGTGGGAGCGGACGGCCTCGAGGAGGCGGAGGGCGCCGGTGGCGACGACGTCGGCGGTGTAGTCGGGGATCTCGAAGGAGACGGCGACGTGGGATTGGGCGGCGAGGTTGTAGACCTCGTCGGGGAGGATGGTGTCGAGCCAGCGGCGGAGGGAGGAGGCGTCGGTGAGGTCGGCGTAGTGGAGCTTCATGAGGGCCTTGTTGGCATTGTGAGGGTCGATGTAGATGTGGTTGATCCTCTGTGTGTTGAAGTTTGATGATCGGCGAATCAGTCCGTGTACCTCGTACCCTTTCTCCAGCAGGAATTCTGTTAGGTATGACCCGTCTTGTCCGGTGATTCCTGTGATCAGAGCTATTTTACGGCGGCTCTGTGGGTTTTCATTTCCATTCGCGGCGGCTGAGTTTTCAGATTTAGATTCAGATTCAGATCTCGCGGCGGTGGTGGTGGTGGCCGCCATTGGAGGAGTTAATTAAGAGTTAAAGAGAGGAGGTATTTGAGAAATGGAGAAATGGAGAAATGAAGACTGGAGATTTATTGATGGGGGAATGATGTGTGTTGGGGTTGGGGTTGCAAAATTTAATGATGGGGAAGTTTTCTCTATTCTCTACTCTAATGTACTATTCTTTTTTTTTTTTCTTAGAACGCATTATTTTATTCATCTAAAGGATTTACATTATATATTTTCAACCAAGCGTCCATTTGATATACCTCCCTAGGGGTGCAAGTTGGAACGGCTTTTCCAATTTCCGTCGGTTCTGATCCGAAAAGTTCTGATTTTGGAACAACTTTTTTCATTCCAATTTCCGAAATTCCGATTTCTAAAATTTTCCGATTTTTTTGGATTGGAATTGGAATTATATAAAATAAATTGGGAATTTCCGATTTCCGATCCGATTTAATTCCGAAATTAATTCCAAAAAATTCCGATTTTTTTTTTGAAAAATACACCTATAAATAGTATATATTATATAATACTTATTTTCCGAAAAAATACACCTATAAGTTTTCTTTTTGGATTTTGACGTAATGCATTGTTGTTAGAAGTTTTATTGGATATTATGTTGTGTTTATTTTTATTTATTTTTTTGAACTGAAATTTCGTAGTTACTTTTATCGACGTGGATGTTCTTATTTTTGAAAAATTATAAACATTTTAGAAAATTTCGGCTAAGTTTTGAAATTTTAAATCTTATATGATTTCTGAAATTCCGAAATTTCCGGGCCTTTTGGAATTGGAATGAATTTTTAGATTCCGAAAATTTTGGATTTGGAATTGGAATTGGAATTGATTTTGCACTTCCGAAGGTTTTTGGAAATTTTCCGGAAATGCTAATTCCGATCCGATCCATCCGATTTTCACTCCTATACATCCCTCATATGAAAAATATATAGAAATAGGTCCACCCTTAAAATTCTTCCTTTGAGTTACCCTGTAAAGATAAAAGTACTATTGTGCCCTTAGACCATCTCCAATGAAGATGGGTATAGTTTGGGGTGGGGTGGTAAAACCACCTCCAATAGATGTGAGTCAAGAAAGTGAGGGTCTGGGTGGGTAGGGGTGGGGATAGGGGAGAGGGAGAAAACCCTTGAGCTGCCCCATTCCAACTCACGTGTTGGAAGGGGGCACGCCTCTTTTTTTTTTTCGTTTTTCTTTTTTATTTGTTATACAAGTTAGTTTTTTTTTTCTTTTCTCTTTTTACTTGTTAATTTTTTACTTTTTTATTTTCCTTTTCTTTTGTATTTATTTTTTATATTATCATTATTTTATTTTATTTCAATTATTTAGTTACATAATTTAATATCACATAATTTCAATAAAATCAAACACTTAATTTGTAAATAAAGACTTTTAATATTTTTTTTTCATTTATTTATATTTTATTTTATTATTTATTTTTGAATTATATCTTTATTTTTAATTTTATTATTATTATTATTTTATTTTGTTTCATTTTAATTTTTAATATATTTTTTTATAATTGTAAAAATTAGAAAAAAACAACAAATACGAGTATTTTACTTTTTATCATAAATTTGAAATAACAATATAATTTTAATAAAATCAAACACTTAATTCGTAAATAAAAACTTAAGTAAAATTATTACATATTTCCGTTGTGTCTTGCCCACGCATGAGCTATTAAATCACACTAAATGTTACGATTTACTTCAACCGATCGAATTGTGTGACGACGTCTCATATAATCACTTATGGATATGCCGCTTGTTTCTGGGTTTAAATCTAATTCCCCATTTCATCGTCATCTGACTCAGCATCAGCGTATTCATCTCGTTCGTCTTCCACAATCATATTGTAGAGTACGATACATGTCATCATAATATTTCTTAGGTCCTTCAGATTCCACCCTCTTCCAGGCTGCTTCACTATAGCAAATCGGGCTTGAAGAATTCCAAAAGCTCGTTCAACATCTTTGCGGTATGCTTCTTGCATTTTTTAGAACAACTGTTCTTGATGTGTTCTCGGCTGCTTAATAGATTGAATTAACGTACCCCATTTTGGGTATATGCCATCAGCAAGATAGTATGCCATGTAGTGATCTTTTTCATTTACCTGATAGTGAACTTTTGGGGAAATTCCCTGAACAATGTTGTCGAACAAGGGTGAACGACCCAAGACAGTGATATCGTTTTGTGAACCGGGTACGCCAAAGAAGGCATGTCATATCCAAGTGTCAGATGAAGCCACTGCTTCGAGAATAATTGTGGGTTTATGTTTTCTCCCCAAAAAGCTCCCCTGCCATGTAGTTGGACAATTTTTCCATGTCCAATGCATACAGTCTAGTGAACCGATCATTCCAGGGAACCCGCGTCGTTCCGCTTTGTCAAGTAGCCTTTTCATATCTGCGTTTGTCGGAGCACGAAGGTACTCATCTTTATACAACCGCAATATTGTTTTGCAAAATTCGCGCAAGGTCTCGGTTGCGGTTGTCTCTGCCATATGGATAAGTATTTGAACCACTGGTATTCGGCAACTCAAGAAGCATCAAAAGTTTGCGGTAGCGGAGGAAACCTGGTCGATGAGGTAAATGTTATGATAATAGTATTTTGTATTATTTATATATTTGCATGAAGTATATTAATTTTTAGTTTGTATTTGTAGTATACTCTGGCATTGAGTATCTATCGAAGAAATGCTAAAAAAGCTTTCAACTTGCAACGTTGTTGGGAAGTTGGTAAGGATTGGGTGATGCTAAATGCGCAAGAAGATATGGTGGATGGAATTGAAATGGAGTTATTTCATTCGCAGTCCACATTTCCTTCATCTCAACCAATGAATTCCCCACCAGTTATTCTCCACCACCGTATGTTTTACGGGATGAGCTACCACCAGTGGATACACATACTGACCAACGTAGTAAGAGACCTATCGGATCGAAAAAAGCCCGTAAAGGCAAAGAATAGGCGTCGCCTAGTTCTAATGCGGAATCTAATTATAATAATCAAGTAGAAATACTAGAGGCCGGACGAAAGCTTAGGCATGATCAAAACATTGCAATCCAACAAATGCAAGAAGAACATAGAGTTATGGCAATGGATACAAGTGATTGCACTCCAGGTACAAAAGCATACTGAAAAGTCGAAAAGAAAAGAGATACAAAGGAAACAAATCGCCAAAGACTTATTTGAAAGTTCTTCGGCCCATTTAACGACGACGGATTTAATCCGTTTGATTGATCTCCCTTGTTCGATTTATATGGGTACTATTTTCCTTGTGTCGGCCCACAAGGTTTTTGACGAGGCCTATTCGTTATTTCATAAATATAAATCGAAAAACAACTTTTTGGCCAAAAAAAAAAAAAAACGAAAAACAATTCCTTGTTCAATTAATTATTAATTTTTGTTTGTAGTAATCGTTATTATCCTAGTTGTTTTCGGATTCTTATTGTATTAATCGGTTTTATCCTTGTTGTTTTCCAAATGTTGTATTAGTGGTTATTATTCTTGTTTTTTTTTTTTTTCAATTATTGAATTAGTTGAAGATTATTTCTTTTACTTTTATTTGAATATTGTATTATTATAATTAAATTATTATTATTATTATTATTATTATTATTATTATTATTATTATTATTATTATTATTATTATTATTATTATTATTATTATTACTATTATTATTATTATTATTATTATTATTATTATTATTATTATTATTATTATTATTATTATTATTATTATTATTATTATTATTATTATTATTATTATTATGGTTGTTATTATTATTTTATTATTATTATAATGGTGAGAGTGAGAATTGGAAAAAAAGTAATATAAGACCGAACGGTTGGAAACGACGTATGTAAAGGGAGGGGGAGGGGGAGGGGGAAACCCCCCCCTCTGCATTGGAGATGCTCTTATGTGCAATTATTGTCCAGCTGCATTCAGTATTTTACCAACTGCATTCAGCATTATAGCCAACTGCATTCAACATTTTTGAATCTGCATTTATCATTTCTATAGATTTTTTTAATAAAAAATATAAATGTTTATCTTATTATTATTTTTTATATATATACCCCTTTGTATTTTTTTTTATTTAATTTTTATTTTTTTTATTTTTAAATTTTTAAATTTTTTTATTTTTCATTTTTTTAATTTTTAATTTATTTTTAATTTTTTAATTTTTTTTCAAATGTTTGATATGAAATTGAGTGCACATGACAATAGTATACTACACATGACTAAAGCATACCGCAATCATGTATAGTTAGTTATATATAATCATGTACTGTCTTTTTATCCCAAAATTATGATCGATCGATTATGTAAACCATTGGTTTATATAAAAAAAAAACTTTATCTACACCAACAACAAAATTCACAATTTGAATCTTGATACTATAAATCAATTAGTACCAAATAAAAAATTGAAAAAACACTATCACTACTGTACAAAAAATCACAGAGCTTATATATAACTATATATTATCATATGTTACTACACGTGACTATATATGACTACATGTATATGACAACTTGTGACTGTATATGACTACATGTATATGACCACATGTGACTATATATGACTACATGTATATGACCACATGTGACTATATATGTATAGTCATATATAGTGTAGTTTGTATTTATAGCTTCAAATCCCATTTTTCAACACGCCAACAATTCCAATCTATCGATTGCAAAAGAACTGTTTTGAATTAACGAACACCATGTCCTCTCGGCAAAAACTTATTGCATAGAAGTTATTCGAACACCAAAACTTGTGACAAAAAAATCAAGTTCAATTTAAATATCTACGTTATAAATCAACTCATAACAACAAAATACAGATCGAAAATACACAATCACATGCATATGTTACTACATGTTACTATATATTCCATTTTGAAGGGATGGGGCAATTTGTTCCAAGGGGGCATTTTTTTTTTCTACGGTTGTTTGACTTTTTTCTTTCAAAAATAAGGCATCTAAAACAGGCATTGCTACTTGCGCTTCTTAATGTGCCGCCACATGGCTGTCTTATTTTTCCGCCACGTGTCCGCCAACATTTTTTTTTTCTCCTTTTTTTCCACTTCCCCATCATCCCTACTTTCCTAGCTTATGAAAATTCTCTCCTCCCATTTTTTTTGCAGTTTATAAATTAAAAAAAATTATATGGATATATATATTTTGTAAAGTTTAATTTTTATTAATTATATACTACATAATAATAAATAATAATCAGATTATAAATCTTTGTCTTAATTAAAAACATAAATACTACAGATAAATGTTTTTTTAATCAGATTACTACAAATATATATTTTTTTTGTAATTATTATTATCTTTAATTAAAAAAAATACATGTATAAATCTGATTCTTTATTTATTTATTAAATATATAATTACTAAATTTTAATATAAAACATTTTTTTGCCAATACTGTATATTAATATATTATGCTTTACACTAGAATTTATTAATCATATACTAAAAATTAATAAACAAATAAATAAATAATCAGATTACAATGATATTTTTGAAATAAAATACTTAAATATTACAAGTAGATTTGTTTATCTCACTGTGCACCCTTGAAATATACCATTTGATCACTTTGCACATACGAAACAAATTAATAGCATTTTGCGCCCTCAAAACACAATAAATCATGTATGAGGCATCCCAAATTATTATTTGGGCTAATAAAGGTAATTTAATATTTTTAGTGATATATTTTTAGGATGATAAATGTCAAATCATTTTTTTTATTCTTCAATTATTTTGAAATTATAAAGTGCAAGATTAAAACTACATCTCGTCAACATATTTAAAAATTATATTGTTTATCAAAATAATATTTTATAAAAAAAATTCATTCAGGTATTTCATTATCAACTTATCTGAAAATTATATTTATTCTAAATATTTTTACCTAATATTTCCAACAGTTGGAATAAAAGATCCATCAATTGAATAATTTTACCTCTCTAAGGATATCTCAAAGGAAGATTTTTAAGGGTGAACTATAAATATTTTCATACGAGAAGTGTATATCAAAATTCGAGAGGTGTATATCAAATGGAGTCAACAAATTTCATTAATGATTCAAAAATAATATATTTCGGAAAGGAGAAGAGTCCAACATTTTCATTGAAGATAGAGAAACTGATAGCCAATTGTAGATTGAAAGGAGAGAGTAAAGTTGGACATTGCATTGAATGCTACAAGGACAAAAGGGACCGAAAAAGCTCAGCAGCAAACTAAAACTTTTTGGGAAAAAACAAATACTGGACACGTGGCGGGCATACAATATGCGTCATTTGCAACAGCGCGTCTTCATTATCTGACACTTGTCGCATTCTTAAAAAGCGCAGTTAGAAGTAACGCGTTATTGTAGAAATGAAATACTAGTCAAAAGTATCTTATTTTCGAAAAAAATTGGGCCAATTGCCCTAGAAAAAAAATTGGCCCTTGTTCCAAGTACCCCATCTATTATACTCTAATTTTCTCAATATTACACATTGACTCCAGATTTAAAAAAATATATCACATTAACTCCCATTTAAATATTGAAAAAATAATTTTATTTATGATTTTTTTTTTTCCGGCCGATTCTCCGGCGTTGATTTTTTTTTTTTGAAAACTTTTCTTTTTCTAATTTTTTTTCCATTTTGTTTCTTAAAAAAATTATTTTAATTAATATTACTATCTTGGCTACTAAATTACTGCTCCAACAGTAATTTAACTGTCAGTGAGAGCAATTTAATTGTCTGATACAGTAATAATATTGTCTCCGGCGTTGACTTTTTTTTTCTCTAAATTACTGTGTTAACAACAAACTTATTGTCTGAATAGTAATATTGAATACCAAAACAATAATATTATTACTAATATTACTGTCACAAACAATAATATTACTAATATTATTGTCCCAAACAGTAAAATTACTGTTTGGCCCAACGATATTACTATTCGGGACATTAATATTATGAATATTACTTTCCCGAACAGTAATATTACCAGGGGAAATATGCAAGACCCCCTCAAATGGAAAATATTTTAAACTAAACCCAATTGACTTTTAAAGACTTTTGCCTACACCCAAGTTTCATTCTTAATTAGCGAGACCCCCCTACCAGACATGATAAGACTAAAATGCCCTTATGTGGTTAGCTTTTTAACGTGATACAATTTTAGTGCTCTCTCTCTCAATTTCTCTTTTTTTTTTCTTCTTTCTGCAGATCTGTAACCTCCGGCGCCCTCCTTCCTCTTTTTCACACCACCGCCGAAGTCCCCTCGCCGCCCTTCATCAGATGCGTGATTTGTACATGGAGATTCCTCTTTTTCGCTATCTCTCTCGATTCTCATTTTTTTTCTCCTTAAGATATGTCCACCACCACCACCATAGCCGCCTGCCCACTCTCTCTCTATCATATATTCATCGTCGTTGTCGTCGCCTCCCCCTCCATTTTCGTTATTTTTTATTTGTTTTCTTTTTTTTTTCTCTCCAGATCTGACGCAGCAGCATTAACGTGACTATAGTCTAGTTCGAATATGACTATTGTTGATTCGCTCAATTAGTTATTTATTAATTTCTCGTGTTCATTGTCTCTCTCGATTTCTCTCTTTACACCACCATCGTCTCCACATAGATTTGTACTCCACCACCACCGCCACCGCTCGTTGCCGCCGCCTCCTCATTCGTTTCCACGTAAGGCTCTTTCTCTCTTTTTCGTTATCTTTATCGATCTCTATGGTGTTTTTTTTTTCTCCAGATTTGTCCACCACCGTCGCCGCCTCTCTCACTCTCTTTCCGTCACCACCACCACCAGCGCCATTGTCGTCGACTCCCCTTCCCTCTCTTTCGTTATTTTTCTTTCTTTATTTATGTATTTTCCGAATTTTTTTTTTTTTTTGAGATCTGAAAATACAGTTTCAGATCTGAACATCAACAGTAACATGACTATACTAGGCCAAAATGCAACACTGGCGACGAAATTTCGCGACGAAATTCGTCATGTAGCGACGTTTTTTCGCCGTTAGCGACGATTTAATTTCGTCGCCATATCATTCAAAAATCGTCGCGTACTGCCCCGTCGCAAAGTCAGTGACGAAAATCCAATTGCGTCGCAACGCTTGGCGACGAAACCATCCATTCGTCGCGAAAACCGTATTTTCTGAAAAAATTCATTTTTTTATTGTTAGCGACGGAAAATTAAGTTCAAGTCATCCTTCCAAAACAGCATGCAGTCATTCTCACACGCATCAATCTTGACGTAACCACACCCCAATTTACCGATGAGCTTCTTAACTTCATAAAAAGAGTCGGGTATATTTAAAAAATCAAGTTTTCTCATTAACTGAAGGGTTTAAGTAAATGTATTATCACTCATCTTGCCACGAGACTTAATTTTGTAGAACTCCATGACAAAAGAAAGTTTAGTATATACCCGGCATCCATCATAAACGGGGATGCACCACTCTTCAATGAGTGTACGAAAATCATCAGTTTCGGGGTTGGGTTCTTCGTGCAGATCTTCTTGATCGTGATGATGATCGTGATGAAGACACGCATGCAGTAAGTCTTCCATGTTATCACGTACATCAACAGGATCATTTGAAATTGCAACTTCGGGAATTTCTGTATGATTAGTATTGTTCATTTCCTCGCCAATGTATTGTTCTTCGGACTCTCCATGCAGAGTCCATCGGCGTTGCCCATACATCTTATCCCAACCCCTCCAAAGAAGATGTTTATGAACGAATTCACGATCCCCCCATTTACGACACTTACAGTCTCTACATGGACATCTTATTTTATTATCAACGTCACATCTAGCGAAGGCAAAATCTATAAATTCCACACAACCATTTTGATATGCTGCTAACCGACGATCACCTAATAAAACCCAACTCCTATCTTTTGGCATGCTTTAATTAACAAGATTACCTAGAAATTGGGAAGGATCACAATTATTAAAAGCAATTTTTCATAATTTAGCTTTACCTTAGGATGTGATTGTAATTTACCCTAATTTAAAGCAATTTTTCAATATTTTTTCGAAAAGGTTTATTTATTTATTTATATATTTTATAGTCATAATTAGGAGTGGAAATCGGACGGATCGGATCGGATTTGGGTGTTTCGGAAAATTGATTCCGATTCCGATTTTATCGGAATTTTCGGAAAATCGGAAATTTTCGGAAATCTTCATTTTCGGAATTTTTTCGGACATTTTCAGTTATTTTTCGAAAATTTCCAGAATTTTCTCAAAAAAAAAAAAAAAAAAAAAAAAAAAGAACCACCGACACAGTAGCAAAGCAGACAAAACTGAAGAAAGAAACATACACACTCACCAAAACACACACACACACAACAGACTCACAAACATAATTCCGAGCAACGGCTTTTCCGAGCAAACACATAATTCCGAGCAACATAAAACCCAAGAACAATTCGCATAATTCCGAGCAACAATAATTCCGAATAAATCGAGCAACAAAGGCTCATCAAATCAACAAAAACAAACAAACACATAATTCCGTCAAAAAACCTAAAAATAGATCGATAATCGAACACCCACGTAATTTTGAACATAAACAAACAAACATTTAAAAAAACATAAAATTACCTTGAAAAAGGAGGAGTAGCGGCAGACGGTGACAACAACAAAGGAGGGCTGTCGGCAACGGCGGAGGGCTGGCGGCGGACGGCTGTCGGCGACGGCAACGGCTGCGATGGCAAAGGATCGGCAGCGGAGATTGGGGGCAACGGCTGGATGACGGCGGCGGCTGGATGACGGCGGCGGGATGACTGTCAGCGACGGCAAAGGCGGGCGGACGGATGTCGGCGACGGGTCAGCAGCAGACGGCGGCGGCGGGCGGATGTCGGCGACGGCAACGTTTGAGAGAGAGGGGGAGAGTTTGAGAGAGAGGGCCGGGGAGATGGAGAGGGGGAGAGTTTGAGAGAGAGGGGAAATAGATATAATTAGGGTCTGATTGAATAATAAGTCAATATTTGCGACGTTTCCAATTTTCGTCTCCAACATATCCGAGAACTAGCGACGAATCGAAGAATACGTCACTACTAAATTCGAAAAAAAAAATTTGTGCACATTTCTTGCGACGATTTTGTAAATCCGTCGCCGGGATATTAAAAAAAAAAAATTTTACTAAAACAGTGGCGACGTTTTTCCCTTTCCGTCGCCACATATAAATTAATTACAAATAATTGGGTACTACTAGCGACGTTTATGAACAAACGTCGCAAAGTATATTATTTTTTTTTTTTTAAATAATATTAGCGACGATTCCGCCTGTTACGTCGCAACATCTGAAATATAAAATCACAAAATATGTAACGTAGCGACGAAACACTGTTTACGTCGCCAAGAAAAGTAATTTTTTTTTTTTTCGTATTGGCGACGTTTGTATATTTTGCGTCGCTAGCTAGCGACGCTTATCCTGAATCGTCGCTAGGTTTTGAATTAAAACTAGATTTTCCACTTTAAGCGACGATTTAAGCAAAGAAACGTCGCAAACGTGCGACGAACGCATAACCGTCGCGAAAAAAAACGTCGCCAGTCTTGCATTTTGGCCTAGTGATAGTTATATTTATGTATTTTTCGAATATGACTGTAGTCATATTCGAATATGACTATTGTTTAATATGGCTGTAATCATATTCGAATATGTCATATCTTCTCGTTTTCAAGTTGACTGCAAATAACTAGATTCAAATTGTGATTTTTTGTGTGGATGTTGATTTGATTGTTTTCGTAAACAATAGGGAATCTTCGTTGTTTTATATAATTTGGTAAACATGACTATACCACACTATATAATCGGAATTTTTAAGTTGAAAAAGTAAAATACTGCAATATAAAGAAAAAATATGAATACAATTAATATAGTCACGTATAGTGATACTTCAACTATAGTCATATTCGGCGTTGTAAACCTGTCCAGAAAAGAATTTCAATTTTTCGTTTTAAAAAAATTAAAAAATATTTTTATTAAAAAAAGAATATTAAAAAAAAAAAAAAAATGGCTAAATAAATTCCGAAAATAATAAAAAATAAAGAATAAAAAATCAGTTTTTTTATTTGGTAGCATTTTTTAGGAATTTGAAAGCAGATTTTTAGGAATTAGATTATTGTTAGGGAAAGAGAGAAAAAAAGAATAATTAAGATTAATTATGCTAATTGACATAAGGGTAGAATTGAGAATAAAATTTCTAAGGGTTATCACAAAGAAAGATTTAAGGGGTGGACATATCACAATATCTATACGAGAGGTTTATTGCTAATGACCCCATATTACTAATATTACTGTCTCAGACTGTAAGGGCTCTTTTGGTTGGTGGGATAAAGAGTGATTGACAGATTAGTCACCCATAATCCGGTATTTGGTGTGAATGATATAAACCCGGTATTGATACAAGGCCCGGTATCCAATCCCCCAAATGAGTGATAACTTATCCCACCCAATAGGTGTGATTAAATTATCCAATAGGGACAATGCTAATGAAAATACAAAAAAAGCCCCCAAATAAAGCCTCATCACATCCACCAAATTACAATTTTCAAAAACATATATAAAAAAACTATTTTTTTATATTAGGTCATGTTTTTATTTTTTTACATTATATAGTTGCGAAAGTCAGATTTTTTTTTACATTAAGTCAAAAAAAATATTTTCAAAAATTATAGAAATAAAAAATTATAGATTTTTATCCCAAAGCCTAAAATAATAGAATTATTGTAATTACAAATTACAATAATTATTAATAAGGGGTGCATGATAAATTGGGATTGTTTTTTTTTTTTTTTAAACGTTTTTGTGAGTCAATAAAATTAATTTGACCAAGGGTTGTTTTGTAAATTCAAGAATAATCAATCATAATCATTAAAAGCAAACATCAATTTAAGTTATTCAGTATTAATAATCCTTCATACAAAATGTGATTTTTTTCCCTATTAAATAGTGGTGAATAGTGCAATAATCAATAATCAATCATGTGTTTGTAATCCCATCCTACCAACCAAAAGAGCCCTAATATTATTGCATAAGACAGTAATATTACGGTCGGAGACAGTAATATTACGGTCGAAGACAGCAAAATTGTAGGCAAAAACGATAAAATTAATTAATGTAGTTAAATTACTGTCTCAGACAGTTAAATTACTGTTGGAGACAGTAATTTATCAGCCAAGACAATAATATCAATTAAAATATTTAAAAAAAAAAACGAAATTTCAAAAAAAAAAAAAAGAAAAAAACAATTAACAGTTATATTATTGTCTCCAACAGTTAAATTACTGTTGAAAACAATAATTTAGCAGCAAAATATTAAAAAAATAATTTTTTTAAGGAAAAAACAAAATTTTAAAAAGAAAAGAAAAAAGTCAATGCCGGAGACCGGCGGCTGACCGGAGGTCACCAGCGGTGGCTGGTCGAAATTAGAATAATGGTCAATATCGATTAATTGGTATAATTGGAGTAAATTGAGGTGTAAATCATAAAATTGAAATTGAATTAAGTTTCAAGAAATTAATGTTAGAATTTATGTAAAAGTGCTTTTTTAATTTGCAAATAAATTTAAGTGAACTGTGCGCATATTGTACTATATACAAAGATTTTGGTATATAGAGGGCTTCTTTGGTTTGCATTATTAGGCTTGATGGGACAATCAATACCTCTCAGTATGCTGTTTGGTTTGGTAGTTGATCAAATGTTGATAAGTGGGCCCACTGTTTTCATCCCCCATTTGAATTATTAATAGTCAAGCCAAATTCGGCTTGATAGTTTGTCATCAAGTAATCCCATCATTTAAGTCCTTGTGCAATGTCGTTTTTGACCTCAAACAACTTAATTAATAACAAAATCCTTACATATAAATAGCTTTTTCCCTTAGAAAAATCCCTCTCCCCCAACATCGATGAACCCTAATTTTTTGGACGGTAAAGTTTGTTATTCTCCGCCATTTTCAGATTCAGCAAATCTATAACTCAATCTTACAAATACGCATTAGATCTTTACCATATCTTTTGTTAGGAAAACAACACCATTACCAAGTAACTGAAAGTCGTTTGTGTTAGTGAGGTCATTGTTCTTTGCTCCGGTAAATCGGTTTGTTACAGATTTGATTTTCGTGTTCATCATGTCCTAGAAGACAACAGATACGTGAAATCCGCCGTCGAACTCGAGGGTTTCGTCAATTTCCTCGTGAATCTTCTCGATTTCGAGGAGAGCGAAATTCAAGATGAGGCGGCCAAATCGATGTCTTTAATTGCAGGTTTTCTGTCCCACAAGGGTGTTCTAATCGGTGCAGGGGTGATTGCCCCTTTGATAAGGGTTCTAGAATCTGGGAGTGAGTTGGGCAAAGAATTTGCCGCCAGGTGTTTGATGAAAGTCACGGAGAATTCCGATAATGTATGGTCGGTTTCCGCCCACGGCGGAGTGCCTGCCCTGTTGAAGATTTGCACTAGTGATAACAGTAGTGAGAGTGAATTGATTGCTCAGTCTTGTGGGGTGTTGAAAAATCTCGTTCTTGTCGAAGAAATTAAGAAATTTGTGGTCGAGGAAGGAGCCATTGTTGAACTTGTTGAGCTTGCTAGTTCTAAAGATGATATTGTACAAATAGGCTCGCTCGATTTACTGCAAACTATAGCTTATAGAGATTCGTCGATTAGGGAAACGATTATTAAAGAAGGCGGACTTCGAGCATTGGTTCGGATTTTGGATCCAAAATCATCGGTTTCAACAAAGACAAGAGAAGTGGCATTTAGGGGAATTACGAGTATATGTTCCTCGTCGGAAAATTTGATAAGTATACTTATAAATTACTCGTTTATGGATCATATACTTTATTTTCTTCGATATGGCGATATTTCCGTACAAGAATTGGCATTAAAGGCTGCGTTTTGGCTATGTGGAACTTCGGAGGAAGCTAAGAAGTTAATGGGTGATGCAGGGTTTATGACGGTTCTTGTTAAATTTCTCGACTCGAAATCGATTGAAATACGAGAAATTGCAGCTGAGATACTTTCTAGTATTTTGATTAAAATATTATATGACTTTTGTAAGGGTATTTACGGCAATATGGTTTTAATCCCAGCTGATTTCTCTAAATCATGCAAACAAAATGGAAACTGAATAGTCAACATATTATTAGTCATGAGTTAATACAACTAACCAAATGATATGACTAATAACATTCATCATGTTTTTAATCACAGTATTAAATATCTCATCCCACCCTTATTATCATGTCAATCAAACCAAAGACGCCCAGAAGGTATACCAAAATCATAATTTAGCAGACCATATCAATAGTGGTACCAAACCGAGTCCTACTAATCCTGGGCAGTCCAAGAGACAAGCGCGTGAACCCAATCGACACCCCGTTGCTGAGCTGTTAAAACGACATGGAAAGAAAATCTCTTACCAAAATTGCCGCAGGCACACGCACATACAATCATCGCCTGTGTAGGGTTTCGAGCAACCTGAATTTTGAAGTATTTAGTTTTTGTTGTTTCGAAAAATCACCTGGAGCGGCGCCTGAAAACTCTTCAAGTACTTGCGATCATCACCGTAATTAATTGTAATTTTGGAGCAGGAAAATTGTTTAATTGAATAAGATAAACCTCGCATCATCGTAAAAATGAGGGACTCCGGAAAAAGGGTTAAGCTTTCGCAGGCGCCTGTGTCCAACATACGTAAGGTATATAGCTGCATTCTCTTTCTTAAGTTCGATTTTGATTTTTGTTTTGTTTTGTGAATTCATCTCTTACTTTGAGTTTTGATTTTTGTTCTGTTTCCTCTGATCCTTTATTACTAGATTTTCATGTTTTTGTTTATGACAAAATTAAAACATGTTATAAATTTAAATGAAAAGAAAAGAGCATAAATAAGAATTCTCTGTATCTTTTGGTCTTCAATTGTGTAGTGATCCTGTGAAAAAAATGCATCAAATCTTTTGGTTGTTTGTGGTGGATAAATGAGAATAAAGATGGTTGTTTTAAGATTCATATCAAAGATAAAACAAGAACACGCACATGCATAAACTATGCATAAATGATCACATTTATTACAAGTGTACGTCTTCGCGTATTTGCTTGTAGTATTTATCGCATACTAGCGCGTGGCATAATACGTCAAGAGTTTCTTAAAGCTAAGAAGGGATAAAATATGCCAACATTGCACTCAGTTCATATATCTGGCAGCATTTCGTTCTATTTATAAGTAAATAATTAACTCAAGATGATGTCGCAGTGACTGAAGAAAAAAAAGAAAGAAGAGAAAATAGAGCACATATTTTATATTTAGGTGGTAGAGTACTTGGTTAGGTTTTCCTATAGTTTTTGAATATTCAGTGTTGAGTTTTGAATATTTAGTACACATTTAATTGGCCATTATGAATATTAAGGTTAGTGAGTACGTCCTAGTTTGTTAAGTTGTAAACGATGATTATGGAAATCAAAATTTTAATGCTCCAACTTAACAACCTATGACCTAAATATCACGAAAGAAGTTTATTGTTTCTTTCTCTTTTAAGCTGTAAGATTTCAGCTAGCTATCAGACATTATATTTATGAAGTGACTTTTAGCAAAATACCATTTTGCGTTAGAAGCTCAATTTCACTTACCTCTGATTAAAAAAAAATCTTTCCGTTACTACCCATGCGTGACAACTGTATTAACTATGAGATACTTGATATGAAATTGTTGGTCTCATTGATTATTTCTTACAATTTCATGTCCACTCAGTTCTTTAATGTTCATACGTCGTTAGACAAAGTCTTACCTTGATATGAAATTTCTAACCAGTTATTGCGTTGTAGTTGCTAAAGAGGTTTTCATAAGTGCAATATTCTTGTCTAGTTACAGTCCTGTATATTATAATTCTTGTATCTAGTGTGTTCAGATAAAATTTATCTGGTTTACAGGTCTTTGACATGTTCGTTTAGTTTTGAGTAGTAGTGTATGTCTTATATCTTTTAGTGAATGGCTAAGAAAAATCTAACATTGTGAAAGAAGGTTACTGTCGTGGTTTATTCTGTTGATATAAGTGTTTGGATGTAGAGATGCAAGGGTTTTGAATTTACTCTAACTTTGGGTTTTTCCGCTTCCGTTTTGTGTTTGTTGGGCCTTAAGTGGAGCACGAGATGAGGTTGTGGATATGAGTTTCCTCTCTATAAATTGTAGTCATTCGTTTCTCTTTTTGTAAATATCGGGTGTTTTTTATTGCTCAAGTGGCAAATCGAGTTACCTCTCCTTATTTTCTGATGCATGTCTAGTGCAATTGGGTTGTCGATTTTATCTTCTTAGGTGCATCAATTGTGGTGTTCTATTTTCAATTTTGTGAAGATTTAGTGTGGGAGCTTGGTTTAATCAGGTTTGGGCCTTTTGGGGATTTAGATTAATGTCACGACCAACTTAACAGTTTTCAGTATTGTCTGGCATATAACGTGGTTTTGTATTTCATTAGGATATAAACGTGGTCAGGTTGAGAAAATGCCAAATTTAACTCGTATGTCTGCGTGGATTTTTGACTCATTAATTGTTCTTGATGTTCTGTTAGTTGAAAAATTAGTTCATTTTGATCATATATTTGTTTTAAAATGGAAAAAGGTGGGGCAATCAAGTTTTTATGTTATTTCCTTGCAATCTATGTCTAGTCTGTAATATATAAAGATGTATTGTTTTCTTAAATGAATCAGGTAAAGAGCAATGCAACAGAAAAACACTCTTCAGAAGTGCATGTTAAACCAAAGATGTCAATTAATCATCTTGCTTGGTACGTTGCATTAAATTCAAAGCCATCGGAACAGAAGAATTCACGAATTCCCCAGATCAAATGGAAATGCCCTCCCAAAGTAAGTTGCATTGAAATGCTATTTTTAGTCTTATCTTAATAATTAGTGATAGGCGTCGTGTCTCATCCGATATGACATGCTAACTTTTATTTATTTATTTTATTTGAATAGTTTTATTTAAATACAAGCTGGTATGTTGCTGCTGGAGAGGGAAGCCAGGAAGCAGAGGCTCAAAAGTTTAGGGAAATAACTGTGCAAGAAATTGTTTATCCTAATCTCTCTAAAGTACCTTCCAGGTACGTTATATGTGCAATAAATGTTCAGTTTTTGGACTTTTTTTCCTTTTTCAACTCGTCCGATCCACCTTTTTTTTTTCCTTCAATTTTCTTGTTGCCCTTATAGTTCACCGGATATGGAAGGAGGTGCAAACACGGATGATAGTGAGATACCGATAATCCCAATCATTCCCATTGAAGCAGAAGCAGGAGAAGCAGAAAATCCATTAGGTACATCACCACTAGTAGAAAATTGCATCGAATCACAACCCCCGAAAGGTCATGACAAATCTTGTGCCGACATATTACAACATGGTCTAGAAAGGGTTGGTACGGAAGTTGCTACTGCTGCTACAATCATGCCAACTGAAGAACAGATGGTTGAACATGTAACTCCACCACCTGTACCAGAAGAAGAAGAAGCAAATACACCATCCTCTGTTTTACCAAGCTTGGCACCTGATGACAAACTACCCGATGGATCAACGGAGGCATTGAGTACGTTGCTCACTTCCAATTCCAGCCCACAAAAAGATAATCAATCTCCTTCGTTGCCTTGCAGTGAAGTCCAAAAAGCAATCAACAAACCAGCAAATAAACAAGGTGATATCCATTCTGCTAGTGAACCAATATGGAAATCAAGAAAGCTGAGTCCCTTAGCAAGATTTTCAAATTCCGTTGTGCCTCCTAACTCGAGACCCAATGAAGAAACCAGATTGGTCGACCAATACACACTACCACCTGGTGTTATTGCTCAGGTAAGACCTCTAATAATGCCTTGCAACTTTAGAACGGGCGAAGAATCGATCGAGGAATTGATGGAGCGATATGCACCACCACCACGTCGTATTGCTCAGGTAAACCAGGTAAGGCATTGCAATTTGAGACCCCAGGAAGAAACAATTGAGCAATTGATTGCAAAATATGGACCAGCACCACATGGTGTTGGTGGGTATGTGCTGCCTCTTAATCCTTCACCGAATATGGGAGGGATTAAGAGAATGATTGATGAATATGGAGTAGCGGATCATGGATGGAGAAATACACCAAATCTTCATGCCTTTCCCAATATGTTGGAGTCGAATTTCAATGCAAATGGTAATTTTCAATTTCCCCTATATCCCCACCTCAGTACTCCCCCCCCTCCACCGGACTTGCACTACAAGTCCACAATCCAGCAACATGGAGAAAGAAGGCACGATAGTCGTCACTTTAGCGAACCTACAGGTCATTATTACATGCAAGGACTAGAATTGGGACATAACAGAACCACATCAATTGAAACAAATAAAAAACACGAGAAGAAGGCTTGCATGTATTTCAATAGTCCAAAAGGATGTCGGAATGGTTACAATTGCCTATACGAGCATGACATGTCTAAGCATTCGAGGGATGGTGGGAGTGTTGATGTTCCAGTAGCAAAGAGGATCAAGTGTACACTTCGTGGCCCGGAAAATTGTGCCGGACGGAATTGGTAGCAAACATTTTTGTTTTTGTTTTTTTTTTGTTTTTTATACTGGAAATACACATTGAACTCATCCCTAAAAACGGAGTTTACAAAATTTTGATACTTGACAATCCTTCATTAAATACAACACAAAGACCAAACAAACTATTTTTTCTTTCAATAGTTTGTGCTAATTTGCAAGAATTCCAGGCACTTCAGAAAGAATGTTATATTAATGGAATTTTTGCTGCATTAGTTCTCTCATTTTTGAGGAGATCAAATTCGAAAGAAAAACAAAGATTTTATGGGATATACGAGATCCGATATGAACTGTAATCATAGTATGTAAAAGAAAAAAGATGAGATAAACTACATGACAATGACAAAATTTGTCTAATCATAGACTTGAAAGAAATTGATAGTAAAATTGTCCTGTGACACACACACACACGCACAGGGAGGGAGAGAACAGTATGAAATATTAAAATTGGAGCCATAAGTAAGCATTACAGACCGGGTGCTAATAATGCCCTCAATCAGAAGGAGAAGTTGTAGGGTTTAAGTTGTAATGTCTGGCTTGATTTATGTGAATTAACCATCCAGGAATAGAAATAGAAATAGAAGAGGTGTTTGTGTGGGTGTGAAATGGTGTGAATAAATGAATTAGGCTGTTCTCAAAATGATATGAACTCCACTCTCGGTGTCAACTATCTCACTTATCTCCCCAACCTTTAGTGCAAAAGCTGCTTCCTCAAAAGGCTTTTGCATTTGCCCCCTTCCAAATGGACCTGCATTTTTTTTGCATTTTCCCAAATATCAGTCAGTATATTTCAACAATCACTCCATATTTCTCCCAACAACATAAACAACAAACTAAATTCCACATAAAGAGCATTGAAGTAAGCGCATCTCATTCACAAATTTTTCGACAGCTAGATCAAAATGTGTAGAAAACATTACATCAAGGATTCAATCATGTTTATATGAAATACGGGTTTACATTTATTGTATGGTTTGCAAATTTTATTGAACAAGAACCAAGGTTACTCGATGCATACCGATTCCTTCCTTATTTAAAAAAAAAAAAACAACAAAAACCTAGAATTCCCTTATGCTCATGAAGAAATATTCACAACCACGCACAAAATTCAATGAATGAAAGAGGAAATAGTAATTTCTTAAGGGATCCAATAAGCTTCAATCTTCTCCTAATAAATTTTGATGAATCATAAAATCATAATTACACATTCCTATCAAATTCCCAAAGTAGATATATCATATCATATAATTAGTGGAAGAATTGACAGCATCTTTAAAGGAATCCCCTGTAAAAATTAATTAATTAATTAATTAAACAAGATCGCAAAAATCACACATAGTTATAAAGTAAAAGCGTCCAAGGGTTTAGAGATGATGCAAATTAAAGAATTGGGAACGGACCGAGATCGCCGCCGCGTTTGGCGGAGCTGCAGTGGGAGTGCTTGGCGGCGAGGTCCTTGAAAGAGGCATCGCCAGACTGGATGTCGCGGCGGAGATCCTGTAGCTGAGAAACGGCTTCTTCGCGAGTGGTGGCGGAGATAACGCGGCCGTCGGGGTCCTTCCACGAGGACTTACGGCGGGAGCCCTGGTGCTTAATCAGAATGTGGGAAGCCTTCACCTTCTCCGACGAGGACATTTTCGTCTTTTTACTGCTGCTGCTGCTTTCCTTGTGCTTGTGCTTGTCCTTGTCCTTGTCCTTCTCCGTGTGGTGGTTGTGGTGGTGGTGGTTGCGGTGGTCGGCTCGATCCGCCGACTTCTTTCTCTTCCGATCGGACTCTATTTTTGCAGATTCAAGGGTTTCTACTTTTGCTTCAGCTGCGATTCCAATGCTCACTGCTGCATAATAATGCTATCTTTCACTTCTATTAATATTCCTTTTTCCTTTTTCCTTTGTATTTTTGGGTAGTTGATTGTGACGACCCTAGAAATTTAGGGGCCATTTTTTTTTTACAATATTTCGGTTTTTTGTTTTTTGAGATTTGGGGTGATTTTGTAATTAATTACAAAAATACAATAAATTGTCGTTTAAAACGACACGCTTTACCGGCCGTTGGATTGAGCTGCGATTGACGGCCAAGATCTCCTATCTTGTCCTCCTAATCTGACGGCCAGGGATAGATCAGAAGACCTGACGGTCGCTAAAACGCGTCATTTTGAATGACGCGCTTTGACCTGTCAGATGGTCAAACGCGTCATTTCAAGCTACGCGTTTTAGCGGCCGTCCGATTCTTCTCGATCTAACGGTATATATATATATATATATATATATATATATATATATATATATATATATATATATATATATATATATATATATATATATATATATATATATATATATATATATATATATATATATATATATATATATATATATATATATATATATATATATTATCCCTTAAACAAACCATTCCACATTTTGCTGCCTTGCTCCCTTCTTCCCAACACCGTAAGTTTTCTTTCTCTCCCTTTTTTATTTGCTAATTATTATTTATTATTGTTGAATTTATATTTTAACTAATGTAGGTAATTTAATTAATTTCAGGGGTACTTATTGAGGTAATTTTTTTCACTCTTTCAATTATTATTATAGTTAAATAGAATTTTAATTATTAATATAATTTTGTTAAATTTTTATTAATGGTGGATTAATGAAATTTTGATCTAGTAAATTATCAATTAATTTGGAGATAAATTATTTCTTGTATTGTTAAAATATATATAATTTATTATGAAATTCAAATTTTTATTGTTGTTTTTCGTGTTATTTTTAGGTTAAACTTTAACTTATGGTGGATTTAAGAAGGAATGTTTGATTGTGTTTAATTAATTTATGAAATTTAAATTTTTTGTAATGGTTTAAACATGATACGAGTAGAATAATTAGTAGGATAAATTAATTAATTATTAGTGAGTTAGTGGATAAATTGGTAGAATTAGTCATGACATTAGAATAGGTATTACCTCAACAAGACCATAAATCGTCTTTTTTACCATTAATTTCTTAGTGCCATTAATTTTGACCATAAATCGTCTTTTTTTTTTACCATAATTAAGATTTAGATTTCAAATTCATGATTTCAAACCATTCGAATTTATGGATGTTTGGTCAAAATTCAAAATCAATGACTTCAAAATTCTTATTTTTTTTCTTTTCAATTTATGAAAATTGTAAAATTACACTTTAGCCCCTCAAGTTTACATCAGTTTCACTTTTGATCCTATGTTTTAATAATTTAACATATTTTTATCACTTTTTTTTTTTAAAATAATGTCTGAAATTTAAATTTTGGTGTGTTTTGATTGTTATAATTAGGTGAAATGTAATTTGTTGTGGATTGAGAAGGGATTTACGCTGCTAGCAAATAATCAATAATTCCGTTCTTGATAATAGTACATATGAGCATCTTATTCATTACACTCGAGGGATTGCTTTTCTCATAGTAGGGGGGATTATGTGTCCCGATCACACAGGCGACTTTATTCCGTTGATGTATTTGAGACATTAAGAGGATCTTGATGCTGTCAGTACATATAGTTGGGGTAGTTGTACTCTAGCAGTCCTCTACCACGAGTTGTGCAAAGCATCGAAGATATCTGCAAAAGAAATCAGTGGTCCTGTTCAATTATTACAGGTAACATATGAATTACTTATATAATTTAGTACATTAATACATTTAATTTGCAGTTTATATTATAAAAAAATATATTCTTGTATTATTTAACAGATATGGGCATGGATGCGGATTCCTCCATCAAGGCCCATACATACTCTGGCAAAATGGGGCACAACACTTGAGTATGCAGGATATGAGTTTCCCGTACCACCTTACGGTGCACGGTAATGGTTTTGAGATTTATGTTAAATTATTTTTGCATTATTGTTACGGTGATTTGTGTATTAATTTTTTGTGTCTATAAATATAAGGGTTTGTTTGAGCCAACTTCCACTATATTTTTCTAACATTTTCGGTCAATTTTACTTGAAAAAATTTGATATTTTTTTTTTCTTCAAAACATTTAATTACTTAGATTTTTTTTAAATTTTCTAAATAAAACTTTTTATTTTTGTCATTTTGAATTTCTTTATTTTTTTCTTAAATGTCTTCCGGCAGTTCAAATTCTCAACAACAATATGATTTTAAACCTTATCTTTATTATTATCTTTAGTTTAATATGTAATAATATATCACAGGTGGACCAACCATGTCAGCTTCATTGAGACTGTTGCACATGTTCTTCGTATTTTTAGGATGATGTTGGATCATATGCTCCCAGATCAGTTTATATGGATGCCATATGATATGGATGATCCGGAGTATCAGGCTGTAGCTGGTGATTCGGATATCACATGTTCAGGTATATGGGTATCTAGAGTCCCCCTGATATGCTACGCAATTGTGGAGATGCATCGACCAGACAGAGTAGTACGTCAGTTCGGGATGGTACAACCCATACCTGAACCTCCTGAAAATACTGAGACGGATTTTCGGATGCACGTCAATGCTAACCGTACAGGTGCTACCAACCGAGACTGGAGTCTTACACATGTTTCGCATGTTACCGCTTGGGATAATAGACTCAATTATATTATTGATTATCCATATGCCAGTGACAGTCAGACTACAGAAGATGGTTATTTTGAGTGGTATGAATTGCACACACGTCGTTTCATATCACCGATTACCCCATCTGATCGTACAGGATTTCAGGTTGGAGGTCAGATTTCAATGGATACAGTGGTACGTATTCAAATTTATTTATTATAAAATTTTGTGTATTATATAATTTTTATTAATGTATGTCTTCTAAAAATAAAAAATTTCTTATTACTTATTTCAGATTCAGCATCTTCGATCGTTGATTGTTTCTGTTGATGGCGGAGACATGCCCCGGGATGGCTATCGTTCGTATTTACCGACTCTCAGAACATGTCTTAATGTCTTAGAGTCTCGACACGGACCTTCAGATAGGCCTCAATCTGAGATGCCTTATACTCAGACTCACACTCAGACTCAGACTCAGATACCACTGTCTCAAATGCCTCAGTCACAGACTCAGATGTACGCTGGCGAGGCAGGAACTTCTTCTCGTGCATATTATCCGGCATTCGATAATTATACAGATCCTAGATCACATGGGCATCCATCTGGTATGTTCAGTACCTTTGATTTTATTTTTAATATTATCTACAACTGTGAGTATAATTATAATCTCGTTGATGCAGATCCGTACACCCCATACCCCTACTTTGGTGATATTAGTGTTAGAGTAGGTGACCAACAAGCCAACATGTGGCTGTGGGTTTTCGTATTTATTATTGTAATAAACGAACCTTTATTCGTATTAATGATAAAACACCTTGGCATTCTATATCTTTGTCCCTTTGTCACAAGCATAGATATAGTCCTTACAGTTATTACAAGTACTAGTAATTGATCATTAGGATCGTGAGATATTTACTTAAGTATTATAACTGTTAAACGTGTTCCTAGTCGAAGGGTTACGCCACTAATGAGGATATCGGCCTTTCCCATTAAGACTAGCACTTAGTGTATGTGTACTGCATCTCATCAGTAAACGGTATTGTGATATCGGCATGCATAAGTGGGTGCTCGTAAGTTGACGAGTTCACTGAACTCCCTCACCCTAGAAATCTCTAAGTGGTTCCCAATAATCGAGTAGAGATATCTATGGTATAGTTGTACACCATTAGTCCTTATGACCTAGACATCACCGTGACTTCACTAGAGGACCAGCTGTATCGTGACCTGTCCCTGAGTTCCACCGAGGACCATCCCAAGGGCCAGTGTTCGTGCAGTCCGAAATCTAGTGGGAGGTCTGTGCATTGTAGTCGGGGATTCGATCGCTAGAATAGTCTTGGATGTCCTGTGTGTTCTGAAAGTTTGTAATCATTCTAAGTCTCTGGCCAGAGCTGACTAAGTGATGATTAGAGAATTCGATTCTTTAAGTCATGCACGTAAGGATTACAACACTTAGAACGATCGCACCGTTATTGAACATATAAAGAGGTCTCGATGAACCAATGCCTCTAGTTCGATCGGGACATATGAATCGAAGGGACCGTACTGTACGTTAACTATATCTGAAGGTTCTTGCAGGCACTTCATTTGTATCTAGGGAATCATGACGCGTAGTTGCTAGACGCCAATCTTGATTCGTTGGGTGATTAAGGTGAAACGAGCTTCATCTTAATCGTAACTCTAAGGGACGAGTTTTGACCACAAAGAGTTGTGGGCCCACGGCTAGCTTACACCTGAACCATCGAGGGTCACACTGCTCGTGCACATGAGATCTTTGAATAAACGGTCAGAGATAAAATAGTTTATCTTTGCATAATTGGAAGTCAATATGATTGAGTCCAACATTCGTAATTTGGAATTATGAATGAGAATAAGAAAAGGAAAAGAATAAGCGAACGTGTTAGTGAACTTTCTAAATCGGGAAGTTTCCAAATTTAGAAAGTCCACTGAACTAGAGTTTCCACTTTTGGAAAGTTGGAAAATAAGAGATGGCACTCGTAATGACGAGAAAATTATAATGACTCGGAAAATGTAATCGTTACAATTTTTCGATCATTGAATTGAGAGATACGAGCGATTAAAGAAACTAACGAGCTTAAGCTGTTGGGCCCAGTCCAACTTAAGCCCGCTAGGGTTTCATGCAAGGGACTATAAATACATGATTTATAACCCTAGCACACATAACAAAAACCCTAACCCTAAGCGGCCGACCTCTCTCTCTCTCGCCCCTCTCCCGCGCGGCCACCTCCGCCGTTGGCGTCGCTCCGTCGCCGGAAAACGGCCGTTCGTCGGCCGTTCTTGTTCGGTATCCTTTCTCCTTCATTATTCTTTCCGTTTTATTCTA